AAATTACTGTGATCCATTTTAACAGACTGCTCCTAATGCGGCTTTTACTTTCCAATAAAGATTAAAATCGGAAATCTGAAATTTTTTCACCTAGAGCATGAGCCTTGAAACATGTTTCATTCCTCTTCACTGTCCGTTTATTCTATTTTCATCCAGCCTTAGACCCACCTGCACGTTTAACATTTGAAGTCACCAAGCCTCCCTTACAATATTTCCCTTCATGTTGTAGCCTTTGAAAAGAATGACCTTCAGAAAAGCTCTTCATTGCAGGCTTTCAGTACATTGGCGTTTCCATCATCATGGTGATGACATCCTCTTCAGCTTTTTTTCTAGCCTTAATTGTCATGGCCAAGCAGCAATTTAGACCCTTGTAAAAGCTGAAATGAACACAGAGCTTGGGGCTCATATCTTCCCAGACAGGCACTTTCTAATGCAAATCTACTCACTGTCTCTGTATAAATAAAGCCTGGGAATATCACCTCACTTTTTTCTAACTGGAAATGTGTGTGTGTGTGTGTGTGTGTGTGAGAGAGAGAGAGAGAGAGAGAGAGAGAGAGAGAGAGAGAGAGAGTGTTACAGAATACTCAATATGTATTTACCATGTGATACATCATTTTATTCAAAGCTTGATTCTAGAGAATGTCATACGGTTTTAATGTATAGCAATGCTGACTCAAGATCATTGCCATTCCTACTGAAGTACAGACAATAGCTAAGGTAAATAAAAGTATGAATTATGATTTCTTAATTTGAATGGGACTGGATCCTATATGAAGAATCCAACATCTCACTATATCTTCCTTATATAAGGGTTGAGAAAACAGTTAATGAGAACCCCTAACAAAACAACTGGCTTAATCTTTTCTACTCTAAAGTAGTCAGAGAGCTATTTAAATGTTTACCTGAGTTATTATTCATCATATAATAAGCTTAATGTTTACAATCAGAATAAAATTATTGACTAGAAACACAGAGCTTATAGGAAATATGAGGAATTGGTTTATTATAGTGAACCACACACTAGCAATTTACTTACACATGAAATAAACCTTAAAAATCTTGTGAAGTAAGTGACAGTTTTATCTCATTTCAAAATCATAAGGTTTTGTCTCAGGATGCCAAGTGGAGTAAAAGCTACTTTAGTCAGAATATAGACTCTCTTATTATAGTCAGTTCAGCTATATTTGAACAATTTTTTGAAGACTAGAACATGCTATGTACGTCAATGCATAAACCATAGAGAAAAACAATTAGAAAAACAAAATGTGTTTAAAGATTACTGTGATCTCAATACTCAGAAATACCATAAATAACATTGTACATCTTGTCACTTCTGAAACAGTTAAATTAATATGTTTCTCATAACTTGTATTTTAATGAATATATGGTCACATAAATTTGAATTTATGAATGTTATGAGGTTATCTGTGTTATATTTTTCAGAGAATCTGTGGACATTAAAATTGCATGTTTATAATTCCTTGCAAGGCATCGTGGGATAAGCTGGAATTCATCAGGGGCCCTCCTACCCACTGCTGAGCTCACATAGTATTGGAAAGTGCTCTGCAAGCTGCTCAGGAAGAAAGGTAATGGTATTACTCAGCTGTAACCCTGTGAACTATGAGACGGACTGACCAGAGATGCTGTGATCACTGATACAATTGTGGCATAATTTTATGGGGTCATCAACCACCCTCTGATTGGGTTTGAGAGTTACTCCCAAGAAGGAGTTCATGCCTGGTAAGGTGACAGAGTATGCTCACCCCTTTGCAAGATATTTATATCACTCTTGCTAAGGTCCAGGAAACACTAAGAAGGAGATGAACTAGCAAGATCTGGAAGATAAGAAGGGATATTGTCTGAACAAACAGCCATTATAATCATGATCATCTATCAAAGGAGGCCCTCTGTAGGAGACCTGATTAGGACTGTGCCTGTCAACAGTCAATCCATGGTTAAAGAGGGCCTCACAGGACCCTACCACTCCCTATTAAACAATTTGTTTCTGATAGTTTCTGGGCAGAGAAACCATCAGTTTCAGCTGTGTATCCACTAATGACCTCAACAAGCTCCAAAGGACAGTTCCAAATTCATGACCACACAGACTACCTTGATTAAACACAGAGAATCACAAAAATGGGGGACTTGGAATGAGGAGCAGAGATTGACTGAATTGGGAGTGATATAAAGGCTGGTTGGTCCATCAGCAGAATTGAAACTCATTGCATGCAAATCGCATCCAGAATGTCAAGGACATATTTATTAAAAGTTATTTTTAAAGTTGTGTATTCATTGGCATCACAATGCCTATGATTCATTAATTTTTTTCTTAAATTTGTACACATAAACTGAAAAGACAATGACTCAATACTCTTACAGGCTAAATCAAATGGCCAGTGTGAATACATGTATCTCACTGTGACAGTGATTTATTTACTCTTATGTGTTTGTGATATGTTTGTTGTACATGAGAAGACTGTTCAGTTCTTGAAACCTCAATCCTCCAAGGCCTTGAGTTATTATTTAAAGACTGCACAGTCAACTAGAAATATGATTTCAGAGGCCTTGTGGAGATGTTTTCAAAGGCATCTTGTCTGAACTTTAATATAAATGGAAATATTTTATCATTGATTTGACATTTAAAATACTTCTTCACTGGATATAAAACATATTGAATTACAAACTTTTCTCTGTCAAAACTATAAATCTTTCCCAACCAAATTCTCATATTTGTTGTAAAAGACACTAGATTTACAATGATTTATATTCTTGTAGAGATTAGTAGAGTTTTCTATCTGAATGAATATGAGCCATCCTTTGTTTTTCCTGAAAATAGAAAATATCTCAAGTACTTGCTTGCTGTATGTCTCATGATTTTTCTTTCTTACAACAATGCAATTTTTATCTGTATTCTGAGTTCTATAACAGGTTACAAACAGATCAGTTTTGTATTACTTCTTCTGTGATTATTTTGGTATTATCTCAGGGACTCTGGCAACTCATAGATTAAATCTTTTTTTCAGACTCCATATATGCCCTGTTATCTGTCATTGTTTTGATACTTTTTCTCATCCATCCAGGAGGAGTGACACTGTGAGGGAGATTTGTATTCCTTTCACAATGTCAGTATGATTTGCCAGTCTCTATTCTGCTCCTCAACTTCTCATTTCCTTGAAAACATTATGTTTATATCTCACTGAGCTACAGTCCCCAGACCTTAAGGTCTTATTGGCAATGTGTTGCTTCCAGAAGATCATTAGTTAAATCCCCAAAGTTCATTTGGGAAATACTGCACTGGAAACAGTAGGAAGCTTCCTTATCATCACTGAAGGCTGAAATAACAGTATTAGGAGGAGGCAGAGAATATCAAGCATCTTGTAATTTGCAGGCTAGGTAGAAATGAGCCTAAGCTATATTAATAACAAATAAGATATCTCCATGTCATGATTTGGGAGCTAGTTGGTGGCCCACAGAAAGCCTGTAGCAGGTGCCCAGTTTAGGAAGATTTAGGAGGTGTGACCTTATTGGAGAAAGCTTGTCCCTGGGGGTGGGTTTTGAGGTTTCATAACACATGAAACGCCCAGTCTCTCCTGGATCCAACACATATCAGATATGAATTCTCAGCTACTGCTCCATCACCAAGCTTGCTTGCCTGACTTCACACTCCCTGCCATGACGATCAAGAACTTACACTCTGAAAATGTAAGCAAGTCCCAGTCAAATGCCTTCTTCTATACTTTGCTTTACTCATGGTGTCTCTTTATAGCAATGGAATTGTAACCAAGACACACTGTGAAGATTCACTTCCCTTGGAAATACTGAACATAGCCTCTGCCAAATTCTCATGATTTTCTGCCATTTTCTTCTCCTTTGAATTTTTCTTGGACAAACTGCATCATCTGTTACAGGGACAGAGACTTCTTGGGAATGTACCACCTCCTTAGTTCCACTTCTACTTATCCTAAAGACTGATATAGACAATGACTGACTATTGTATTGAGGCCCAAAGCACTTATCCTTCCCTGATAAAACACATTGGTATGTTCCAGAAGTTCACCATGTATCAGGCAGCTTCTACAAATCACTTAAGGTTGGTGTCTAGATGTTCACACTGAGCTGCCCTTCTTAGTCTGTGTTTCTATAATCACTTTTTCTTTAAACCATGATGTGCTGTGTCTCTGCCTGACAGAACATAACCCAAGGGGTTGGAATTATTTGGAATTGGCTTGAAAATAAAAATCATAAATTCAGTCTACAGAATGCTAATTGCATTCAGAATATCTGGAGAAGGATTTTAGAAGGCGCATCAAGAAGCAACTCAAATAATAGAGATAACTCCACATTTGACAATAAAGGACAAGCCCCTAAACCCCATAGCTCTCCTCTTTAGCCAACCTTCTTTGGTCTATGGATTGTAGTTTGATTATCATTTCCTTAACAGATAATATCCACTCATAAGTGAATTTGTACCATATTTGCCTTTCTGGTTCTGTGTTACCTACTCAGATGATTTTTTTTCTAGTTGTATCCTTTAGCCTGCAAATTACATGATGCTTCTTTAAAAAACATACTGACAGTATTTCCTTGTATAAATATACTATATTTTCTTTATCCATTCTTAAACTGAGGGCTATCTAGGTTATTTCCAGCTTATGGATATTATGAATTAAGCCACACTGAACATAGATGATCAAGTGTCATTGTGGTAGTAGAGCTGGATCTGGAGGTATATCAATTTCCAGTTTTCTGAGGAACAACCATATTGATTCCTATAGCAGTTGTACAAGTTTGTACTCCCACCAGCAATGGAGGACTGTTCCTTCACTCCTTGCCTGTAAAGGGAAGCCTTCTCCCCAACCTGGTTCCAGAGCCGCATCAGTCCCAAATAAACACACAGGAGGCTATATTAATTATGAAGCTGTTGGCCTTGCTTGTTTCTTACTGGCTAGCTCTGACTTAAGTATTTACCCCATAATTGTTAATCTAAGTATTTCTCTTACCGGAGAGGTTTCCGGGCTTCCTACCCCATGGCAGTTACCTCTTGACTTCCTGTGTTTCTACTACCCAGAGTCCTCCTGGACTCCTAGTCCCACCTATCTTGGTTCCCTATTGGCCAACAGTGCTTTATTGACATATACACAGGACTTCCCCCATCACTTGCCAAAATGAACAGTCATTTGTTATTGGCATAAGATGGAATCTCAAAGTTTTGATTTACATTTCCTTGATGGATAAGGATGGTGAACATTTCTGTAAGTATTTCTCAGCCATTTAAGATTCCACTGTTAAGAATTCTGTGTTTAGATCTGAACCCCATTTTAATTACATTATTTGGTTTGCAGATGTTTTAGATTCTTGAGTTCTTCATATATTTTGGATAATTGCCCCTGTCAGATGTGGGGTTCGTAAAAAAATTTTTCCCATTCTGTAGACTGCTGTTTTGTTCTATTTCTGGTGTCCCTTGACTTACAGGAGCTTCTCTGTTTCATGAGGTCCTTTTTATTGTGTATTAATCTTTGATCTGAGTGCCTGTGCTAATGGTACTGTGTTCAGAAAAGTTGTCTCCTGTGCCAATGTGACCAAGACTGCTCCCCACTTTCTCTATCAGGTTCAATATGTCTGGTTTTATGTTGAGGTTTTGGATCCACTAGGAATTGAAGTCTGTGAAAAGTGATATATAGGGATCTATTTTCATTTTTCTGTATACATAAAGTTTGACCAGCACCATTTGTTAAAGATCCTTTCTTTTTCCAGTGTTTATTTTTCGATACTTTATAAAAAATCATGAGTCCATAGGCATGTGAATTGACATCTGGATCTTCAATTTGATTTCATTGATCAACATGTCATTCATGCCAATATAATGCAATTTTTGCTATACCTCTGTTGTAGTACTTGAATCAGGAATGGTTCTCCCTGGAAGGAGAAATAGAATAGATTCTGTAGTTGGACTGGGGGCAGATGAGTACTGAAGCAGAAGGGATCAGTTGGGAGCATAGAAGGAGAGAGGTCAGGGAAGGACAGTGGAATTGGTGGATATTTAAGGCATGGTAAAGAAACCTAGTACAGTAGAAACTTACTGGAATCTCTGAGGGTGATCATAGTGAAGATTCCTAGTAATGGAGGACAGAGTCTGAACTGGCTGCCTTTTGTAGTTAGGTAAAAACTTAAACTTATGGAACACATCAAGGCTCATAGCTACGCAAAGACTTTTAAATCTCCAAAACTGAATCACCACATAAAGATCATGTCTTAATTTTATTGGAATTATTTGAATTGTAAAACATTATAGTTCTGCAGTGTTATTTTTTAGATATGTTTCTTCACCAAAAAATGATCACTGCTCTATGAAGAGGTGTTATTTAGCATTCTAAAGTCCACAAATTGAAACTGATTTTGTATTTACCTTGATTGAGAGAAATATCTTAAAATTCATATATGCAGCAAAATGCAGTGAAAATTACTAATAAATTCCCTAATTTCACTTTAAAATTTCTAGCTATTATGAAATTCTTTATAACATTGGCCCTAAAATAGAATTAGCAATTTTCTTTGTTCAAAGAGTTCTTGTTTTAAGAACTTAGAAGGAATAAATTTCAAAATTTATGTAGTGTTTATATTACCATAAAGGTTTAGAAGGATCTATTGTTAGTAATTATGTTAGACGTGGGTTGGAAGATTAAGATGTGTGTTCATCCTTCTGTAACCAGACTTCATTGAAAGCTCAGTCTCTCAAGCAGAGACTTTGTTCATCTTGTCACAAAGAATTCTTCCTTAAAGAGGCATTCAGTGTGCATGACCATTCTCCTAACTATATTACCACCTTGTTAATATTGATCTCCATGTAAATATTGGGAAAGTTAGTAAACAGAAGTTAAAGAAGAAGAGAACAATATATATTTTCCTCCTCACACACTAGTTCCCACCATCAAAAAGTTTGCTGGCACATGTACCATCACCTCTTTTTCCGTGCTGGAAGTACAATGTAATTGATGACATTTAGTCTGTAGTAACAAATCTCTACATGGAGGTGTAGGTGCTGAGGCACTTCTCTTACATCAAATATTTTGACAATAAAGTGTTATTTATTTCATATTTATGTCTGGACTCATGTATACACCCTGCATGCTTACAGGAGATCATGGTCAGAACATGCACCAGATCCATTGGAACTGGAGTTACAAGTGATCATGAGCTGCAATTTGTATGCTCCGGGCCAAACATGAGTACTCTTTAAGAACAGTAGTAATTCTTAATCATAGGCCATCTCTTCATCTTCTTAGGACTAACTTCTACTTAGTAGACTAGAAAATCTTACTGACTAAAGTAGTAATATTTTCTGATGTTTCTAAATATCAGAGATACAAATTAGAATTCAACTACCTTGAAAGCACTTTATTTTCCTTATCTCTGAAGAGGTAAAAATAGTTCTAAGATGAAAGAAAGCTGTAAGCACCAAAATTCATTTTTAAATTACCCTTCTGTGAGTTAGTATACTTTGATAATTCATGAGATAATTTGATAATTCATTAATATCAGGAGATATTAATTTTCAAGTTTGCAAATATTGAAATGAAGAATTACATTGAAGAAGAACATTGAAAAGATTTAATAATATAGATAAAAATGTTGGTTTAGAACTTCCATGTTTAAGCTTATCATATCCTTTAAATAACCCTGGTGGACAGACACTACATCTGTTCTTGATAACACCCCATTGGCATATGTTTAGAATTTTCCTGTTATGAATCAGCTCTCACAGTTGTCAAACTGTGATCCATACACAGGCTGCATCCCAAATCCAGCCTCATGATTCCCAATACTCCAAACAGCCTTTGAACTCCAACCACAGGCTGACCAGGTTTAGAATTCCTTCATCTCAGTTTCTTGTTTTCTTCAATATCAACTTTATTACCACTTTACACTTGATCTTGGGGCATTTGTTGGGGTAGTTGAGTATTTCAAAGAAAGTAAACCTTGAATTCAATATTACTGGACTAGAAGCGAATAATAAGTATCACTGCCAGTCATTCTTATATGTAAATATGGCTAATGAACCTTTTTTCATAGTTCTTTGGATTGCATGAGGTCCCGACTACAGTACTTGGTAACTACCAGATAGTTCACTTGCATGATATTTAGTCTTTTCATGGACTAGATTAAAATGTTGCCTGGAAATTCTCAGCTCTAACATTTTGTTTCCATGAAGTGATGAATATTTGCACGTGACAGACCATGATAAAATCTCAGAACATTAAACATTCACTTGAATAATGAACATATCAAAATAAAAAATGGCATCAGCAATAATCTCTGTTGAAATACTTCCTGTATGCTGATAATGTGTTCTTTTAATGGAAGTTTCATCAGCCTAAATAACTTACTAAAGACCATAAACACAACAAGTGCAGGGTTAGGTAGTTATCATCCCATTCTTTTGTTAGAAATGAGAAGTTATAAAAAGATTCACATTGACTTAAAACTATTCAGAGAATAAATCATTTAATTCTATACCATCCTGTTTTACACCGTCAAACAAAAACTTAGAGTTGACAAAGCATCTATCTGGATGGGGAGAGCAAGTAAAGACTTCGAATAGTGATTAGCACTCAGCTAGATGGAGGTGACTGCAAATAGGCTCATGTCTTGTACTCACAGCTTTATAGAAAAAAACAATAGTGACCAGAGACAATTAAAATGTGTTAAATGTATTTCTGAACCTCTGCAACAACTGATAGGACATATAGTGTATCGCAAAGCCTTGATAAAACAACTTCTGCAGCTAGACAATTTTCCTGAGGGTATTGAAGGCCTGAGGCAAAGCTGTTCTTTGCAGATCTGCATTATGACATATTTTGCACACACGAAAAAAACATTCTGTAAACCTCATTGCATTTTCAATATTTGTGTGGCTATTTTGAAGTTTAGTGATAAAGTCTTGGAGCCATGGGTTTGCTTTCTATCCATAGTACCTAATTTCATTTTTACCAATGTAGATCCAAAAATAGATATGTTTTATTGATTCTCCTTGACATGAACTCTGGTTTTTACCGTTTGACCTAATCTAAACCCATTTCTTTTCTGTTTTGTTTTGTTTTTCCTTTTCTCTAACTCATCGGAGGAAAGGGTATATTTGGTTTATGAGTTACAGTCTACCATCAAGGATAAAGAGGGTAGGGATTAAGGCAGAGCCTGGATAAAGAAATGGAGCCAAGATTATGGGAGAATGATGCTTACTTGCTAGCTCATTCAGCCACCCTTCTTTTACAGCCTGTGGGTTACATCAGACACAAATCAATGATTATTAAAATCACCCACAAATATGGTAACTGGTCAATCCAATGCAGGTATTCCTCAGTTGAAGCTCTCTCTTCCTCAGGTGAAAAATTGACAATCAAACTCAACCACTACAGGTCCACACCCTGTCAACTCAACACACAAACTAATATCTGATAAGTTGTAACCTTTTCTTGTCCCCAAGATCTCATGTTAACTTGAACATATAAACAACAGTTCAACTGTAAGAATTGAATAGTCTTAAATTTTCAACACTTAAAAAACACAAAGCCCATTTAAATACATTGTCTTTAAATGTGGGCTAGTGTAAAATCCAAAGTAAGTTACATTCTTGTGTTGGTTAGTTTTTTGTTTGTTTGTTCTGTTTTTGTAAACTTGACACAAACTAGTGTCATCTGGGAAGAAGTTACTTCAATTGAGAAAATTTCTCCCTCAGATTGGACTGTAGGCAAGTCTGTGGGTATTTTTTTATGTTGAGTATTTCTTTTCTCTTTTTTAAATTTAAATTAGAAACTCTTGTTTTACACATCAATCCCAGTTCCCTCTCCCTCCCACACTCCCATGGTCCCCACAAGCCCCCATCCCATCCCCTTTTTGCTCCCCATGGAGGGTATGGTCTTCCTTGGGGGCTCATCAAAGTCTGTCACATCATTTGGAGCAGGGCCTAGGCCCTCCCCCATTTGTCTAGGCTGAGGGAGTACCCCTATATGTGGAATGGGCTCCCAAAGTCCATTCGTACACTGG